ATGAGGAGCTTCTTCTTAATCAAAATGAAAAGTCCTTTAAATGACCAACAGTTCCTTAAGCCATGAGCACTTCACCTGGAAATAGCTGACTTGCTAATCATGCACCTGGGAGCGAGACTGTTTTTATTCAAATTGGTTATTTTACACTCTCTTCATCCCCCTGCCCATCAAGCATGCAAACACGGTCATGACCATCTTGGGCTTTACTTCCACAAGGTCTTCAGGAAGAGCATACACCCTGGCTCCAATTCTTCTAGCCATTGACACGGCATACCTATTTTTTGAGGAAACGAAAATTAAGATGAAAATTTTGTCAGTCAAGCACACGATAGGAGACATCTATTTTCTATAATCATTTGGCTTCCACATTGAAAGTTCAAATCGGAACCATTTCACTTTTTGTTGTTTTGTTTTCGAGGTTACTCTTAAGGGACACCAGGTTTTTAAGCTCTGCCATTTGGGACTGATAACATTTATTCACTTATTTTCTCCAATACAAAATTATAGTTAATTTTGGAGCACTGACTTGATATGAAAATGAAACACACACACACACACACACACACACACAGAATCACCCAGATTGGCTGCACAATCAATGCTTTTTTTAAAGGTCATGTGGTTAAATAATTTTTTTTTACACTCTCACGTGATCTTAGAGATATGGGGTGGAAAATTATACCAGATGCAAAATCCAAGTTGCTTTGGTAGATGCAGTGAATACTTTCAAATTTCTACATGGCACACCAGCACCCCAGGGAGGTGGTGTGGTGGAGAGATGGTAGGTGGTGGGGTCAGGCTGGGCTGTATTCTTGTCTGGAACTACCACCTACCAGCTGCCACCTACCAGCTGGTTGAAGCAAGGCTCATGGGAGCCCCACATGCTAGGTCCCTTTCTCCCCTTTATAATTCCCAGCAACTGGAGAAATGTGGTGCTTGGTGGAGCAGACTTTGAAAAGACTTATTTTCTCCAATACAAAATTATAGTTAATTTTGGAGCACTGACTTGATATGAAAATGAAACACACACACACACACACACACACACACAGAATCACCCAGATTGGCTGCACAATCAATGCTTTTTTTAAAGGTCATGTGGTTAAATAATTTTTTTTTACACTCTCACGTGATCTTAGAGATATGGGGTGGAAAATTATACCAGATGCAAAATCCAAGTTGCTTTGGTAGATGCAGTGAATACTTTCAAATTTCTACATGGCACATGGCCAGAGTGACTAGAGCAAAGAACAGAAAGGACAGACAAAGGAAGGAAGGAAAGAACTGACATGACCAGCTAGAGAAATCTGCAGAGGAGCACACCACAATTAATACACGTGGCATTTCTAGGTGTTTATTAACAGGAATTTTTTTTTTTTGCAGTAATGCTCCTTAGCTATCCTATGAAGCCCTGCTCTGGGGTGATTTTCAATGTACTAATAAAGCTCTCATGGGTTGCCCATAAATCCAGGTCACAGTCAAGGTCATTAGTGAAAAAGGGAAGAGATGGGTAGAAAAGATCTCAATGCTGTTGAAATGCAAGAAACTTCCAAAGCATATTTTCAGCTGAGGGTTAAGCATCCTGCCCATTTAGGGACCAAGATAATGAGCTCAACATACACAGCCAGAGTGATCTATGCACAGTAAAAAGGGTATCAGAGGATAATGTGTTTTTAAAAAGTGAGACAGAAGAATACTTTAATCTAAGGCAGGTTATCCGTAGCTCATTTTTCCCTTGTAAATTTGTAGCCGAGTTGCATTATAGCACACACTACATTATTGCTCTAATTCCCTGAAGCAACAACTGATTGAGCACCTGCTAGGTCAGGCACAATGCTAGGCTCTTATGTATTTTGTTCATTTCAAAATCTCCAAGTTAATTATTATTGTTCCCATTTTACTGATGAGGACTCTCAGGCTCAAAGAGGTTTCCCCTAGGTGACACAATTCTTAAGTGGTAGAATTTGACTGAGAATGAAGATCTGCCTGGCTCTTGCAGGATATCAGGCGGCCATCCCTTACTTGGCATTATTGTGCTTGTCATCTTCTGTTAGATTGCCACTCTTAACAAGGTCATAGTTTATGCAGCCTGGCTGGATGGCGTCAATTAAATCCACAACGGCCAAACTGGAGCTGATCGTCTTGTCCTAGTGCAAAAGGAGAACAAATCTGAGAATTTTAATACGTACAAATTTCAATATGTAAAACATGAGATTACTGACATAAAGTTCCCAAAACAAAAGGCCAGAGAATTCAAAGAGAACCTTGCCATTAGTCCAATGATAATTCTCACTCACAATGAACCAAAGGTTGTCCTTCCAAAATTACAGAGACCTTCTAGCAAACATAATGTTTAATAGTCACACATGGAAATCCTTACCTTAAAACTCTGAATGGAAGTTGATTTGCCAGCTTCCCTCAATGTTTTGTTGACCCAGCTTACAATGATGTCGTCATTAGCTTTCTGACCATCTCCAAGATCTTCCAGGACATTGAGGGTATATCTAAAAGAAGAAGCCAGAGAAAAGGTCCCAATCTACTTTATGAGTAAAAATGTAAACTTTAGGAAGATGCTTCAGCTTCCATTTCTTTTATTCCTTAGGTTTGAGAAACTAAAGGTTTCAAGTAGAAGTGGGTTGCTAGTGATTTACCCTTTGCAGTAGTGGAGGTGACAGTGGGGTTTAAGATTTTCAGTGTTTTAATGAGCAAGCTCAACCGTCTACAGCAGGCACATTTGGTATTAGTCCGACTGTGGTAAAATCTTAACATAAGCACTGCTTTGGTTGGCACCCAGTCATAGCAAATGTTTTTCAGCATTATAGTTAAGAGATCTTATTTATTTATTTATTTATTTTATTTTATTTTTAAATACATTTTATTGATTTTTTACAGAGAGAAAGGGAGAGGGAAAGTGAGTTAGAAACATCGATGAGAGAGAAACATCGATCAGCTGCCTCCTGCACATCTCCTACTGGGGATGCACCCGCAACCAAGGTACATGCCCTTGACCGCAATCGAACCTGGGACCCTTGAGTACGCAGGCCGACGCTCTATCCGCTGAGCCAAACCGGTTAGGGCTAGAGATTTTTTTTAAATGGATACATGGGATGTTCATAATTTCTTCTGGTTATTTCTATATTCATTGACTTTAGGCGAGGCTCAAGTGTATGTGTCGGGTTTCTTATGAGAAAAGGAAATGTTCACAGTTCTGTTGCCCAACTCTCAAGGAGGCATCATCTCCCACGGAACATCAAACATATACTCATTACTTAAGCTCATTGCAGAGTCTAAATACAAACATTTCAAAGGTGTAGTCATTGATGGGTTTGCTTAAAAATAACAACTCGTTTACAGACCTGTATCAGAGTGAAGCTTAAACAGCCTTAATTGTGTATCATACCTTCTCATCAGCTGCCAGACCAAAGCTAAAGTCAAGGTTTGGTTCCCATCATTCAGGTCTTGCCCTCCAATGCCAACCAGGGAGAATTTGGCAGGGTGCTTCCCTAATTCAACAGCATAGTTGCAGTTTTCTAGCTGCAAACACACAAAAGTAAATGGTTAAAGATTTTCATTTGTTTAGTCTGTACACGTGTGTGATGCCAGACACTTAGCACACAACAGCAAATAAGACACAGTTCCTGTCCACAAGAAGCTCTGAGTTAAGAGATTTCCAAACAAAAGAAACAAATTTAGAAGAAAAATAGTTGGTAACAAAGATATGTGGCAATTTAAATTTCTACCTTTTTCATGTTGGCTCCAAGTTTTGGGTATGGAGGTTTATTAACCTTACTCCAGTCAACAGGAACTTTAATTCGCTCATACAACTGTAAGATTACCAGGGCATCTTGCAGGTCACTAATAATTTAAAAATGATTTAATTAGTATTTTCAAACACTTGGCTTTTGTTCCTTAAAACCAATAACATGACACTGTCAAACAAGACATATAAAACCAGAGGTAATACCCAAGACATATATTCTATCAATCTATGCCGAAAATAGAGCTAAGACCATCTGATTCACTTAAAAGTATTTGTTGAGAGCTTACTGTTTGCAAGGCACTGCTCTAGAAGCTGGGCATATAGGAGAAAAATCCCTGGCTTTACATTAGAGTCAGGGAGAGAGAGAGAGAGAGAGAGAGAGAGAGAGAGAGAGAGAGAATGAGAATAAACAAGTACATGGATAAATAGATATGATTTGGGGTGCATGCAAGTCTTATGAAGAAAAACAGAGCTAGGGTTAGAGTTTAGAGAGTGGCCGGTGGTGGGCAACACCTGAATCTGTTGATCTGAACCAGTGGTGTGAATATAGTAAGGAACTGAGGCATTAGATGTAGAAAAGAACATTCTAGGCTGAGAGAACAGTGAGCACAAAGGCCCCCAGGCATCATGGATGGTCTACTTAAAGTGTTCCTTGATGATCTTTGTCTCAAATTAGGGTATCTTCTCCCCAGAAAGACATTAATGCATTCTATCACTTACAGTTGATGATATCACAACTCAACATTTTCCAATATAAATAACCACTATAAATTAATATTTAGAAAATTTTTAGAGCAGTAATTATTTGTGTAGCACCCATTCATGATGTTCATTACTATTTATAATGGCAGTAAGAAGGCTTACGCGTAGAGATGGTTTACATGGGGATTAACACCAAGAGAGTTCATCCAGTTACGGAAGGTTCTTTCTTCACGAGTTTCTCCTATTAAGAATATTAACAAATTTTATATTCATTAAACTTCTTGTATATGTGCATATAATGTCAACCAATACATAAGACTATTTCCTCTCCAGATCTAAAGGTTTTCTCCTTATGAATTTCTAAGCATTCTAAGTACATCCTCTAGACACATGCTTATTTTTAAAATTTGTTCATTTACTTTAAAATGAAAGAATAGGACCTTATTATAACCAGTTAAGCAATTTAGACATTTAGGAACTTTTTACAAACTCCCACTCTCCTTTAATTCTTCTCCAATGTCGCTCAAGTCACCATACTTCAAAATAACTGATGTTATCAAGTGTAGTTTGTGTCTTAAAAAGTTGCTCTGGTCATATGAATTGATATTCATATTAATTTACACCTTTCCTCTACCCATTTTTATTTTTTAACTTTTAAAAAACTTTAATGAATTTATTGGGGTGATATTGGTTAATACAAATATAGGTTTCAGGTACACAATTCTATAATACATCACTGGTATATTGTATTGTATGTTCACTAAACTACACGAGTGCTTCTTTTTATACACCTATATTAAAACAACAAATTACTTGAAATGTCAAAAGCATAAAATTTAAATATTTTATAGTAATGCCAATGGAAATCCAACAACTGCTATTTACATTTGTTATTTTTTCAATACTATACTTTTTATATATATGAATGACCTGGAAAAGGTAAACTGCCTTCCCCAAAGTTAAACAAATAATTACTACACATTATTACTATTTTTTGAGTAGGTATGTGTGAAAGAAATGGGGGGCTAGTTCCAGTTAGTCTGACTGTGGAAGAATGAAACAAAAGTATTGTAAATTTATAGATCAAATTTTATGCAGATGCACATTTGTCTTGTGAGACATTAAAAATGTGATCTAATTTTAAAATATTAAAATAAAACATTGGTTTACTAAAGGGACTTAAGTTAAACTACTTTAATTTTTAAAGTTCTCTCATATCACTCAGCCGGTGTGGCTCAGTGGTTGAATGTCGACCCATGAACCAAGAGGTTTGATTCCAGTCAGGCCACATGCCTGGGTTGCGGGATCAATCCCCAGTGGGGGGGCGTGCAGGAGGCATCCGATCAATGATTCTCTCTTATCATTGATGTTTCTATCTCTCTATCATTCTCCCTTCCTCTCTCTCTCTCTAAAAAAATAAATAAAAACATAAAAAATAAAAGTTCCCTTGTATCATCTCTTTCTGTCAGCTGCCATTTTTTTACTCAGTCTTTGAGTCTACTTCTAGCAGATGTTTGCTAAATGAAAGTGGATAAGGAAACTTAAGTGAAGATTATGAAATCATCGTGGTCTATATATTTCTGCTCTGTAGTACCCGTCATTAGAATTTTACCTTCTAATAGAGTCCAGTCAATATCCTGGTTCTCTGGCTTAGTTAGTGCTGGATACTTATTAAACAGGTTAGCCACAAAGGCCAAGTTCAGTTTGGGGTTTCCACTGACAACATCAGCAGGGGTAACAAACTGTCTGCAACCTAATTTGTCTGCTTGTTGAAGCATACTCTCAGCTCTCTTCAAATCATCTGTTTCCTGTTTAAGTAAAAGAAGACATTTTAAGAGGCCATACTCAAAATACAAAAATGTTTCCTTATAATGATAGGCTGTATATAAAATTCTACTTTCTCTTACCCAACATATGGTACTTATTATAAAATTGTTTTGAATGAAAAAAAAAAAAAATTGGCCCTGCTGGATTTGCAGTAACTTGAAAATACCCTAGATGGCACCAGATCATAGATCGAAGGACGGAATACATTAAACTCAACTGAAATAACATCTCCTGCTAAACTCCATCAAGAAAAAGCTAAAACTTTTCAGAAAAGTAGGTCCTAGAGAAGGTGTAAGGCTAAGAGATGAAGGACCCTGCAAAAAGGGGAAAAGCAAAGGCTATGAGATAAATAAAATGAGCGTTTGGGGGTACAGATTAGTGGGAAATAACACTGGGTAGGAGAGATGGGGTGGCCTTAAAATGCTATGCAGGACGTTTCAGACTGAACTCTAGAGTCAATGGGAATCCTAGAAGGATTCTGAGGAGGAAAGAGACAAAGAAAGGAGTGTTTTAGGAAGATCACTCAGGGAGGATTGGCTGAAGAGCTTTATCAGAATCAGAATCAGTTAGTATACTGGTGCCATTTACCCAGGCATCTGGCTTCCTCAGTGCACAGGATGGTGCCTCATTTGTAGCAAGAGTGACCTGAACCGGAGTTTCATATTTAACATACAGACAGAAATATAAGCAAACAAGTCAGTTATAAATTCATTTCTAATAAGGGCAGTGTAAATGGGTTAGCCAGTGCAATCCACTCAATCCTATTGCACAATAGGCTAGAAATGTGGATTTTTAAGATTAGTACGTGCATTCCATATCTAATGGGTATAAAGAATGACAGGACCCTAGAAACTTGACATTAAACAGGCTGGTCCAGCGCCTTACTTTGTGGACGAACAAAGTGAGATCCAATTTTGGGAAGGAAATAGTCCCTGATCATTGAACAAATTAATGGTGTAACCAGGGAACATGGTTCATGTCAGTAATTCCCCAATTGTATTTCATGGATCAGGAGTTTGTAAACATATTCATATTATTCTCAACACAGGATAACAGATGCATATATAAATATGTAGTCATTACATCTGTGGTTATAATCCAAACATTTGGGAAAGGTCGGTCTCTAGTACTTATTTCCCCATGCTTGCTTTGAATATTTATGCCATTCATTATAAACCATTACCGCCATAATTATGGAACTCACTACTGAACTCTCAAAATAAAGTCTTTCTGCCTCTGAATGATAAGTATAGCAATTAAAATTAACTTTAAAGTAATACTTAAAACTGTCAATACCCCTACATATATAATTATAAACACTCTTGTATTTATAAGAAATTGACAATAATTTTGTAAGATGTAAAGTTGAAAAGAAGCACCTATACTTACATTGAAACCTGACATGTTAATATCTATCCGTGGTTCACCTTCCTTTTGTCCTTTTGGTGCAATTTGATTGAGAAGATGGAAATAGGCTTTGGAATCCTACGGATGAATTGAAAATGTCAGTGAGATCACATTCACAAAGAATGAATGCATCCTATTGTCCCATGTTTGGAAGGATATCTGCACTGAAGTTTTAAAGAATATATGGCACAAACATCTGTCTTCTAATTTAACAGACCTTGTCCCCCCAAAAGTTCATCTATCTGGTCTTATGTCTGCCTTGAAAATAGATGAACTGGATTTTGTCACAATTTTACAATTTCTTGAAGTAATCAACACAATAATGCTAGTAAACACAAAACTAGTTCTGTACCTTCACTGAATTACTGAAGTCAATAAGCTTGGTAGATAAAATAAGCAAGAAAAGTCAGTGGGAGAGTAGAAATCCAGGAAGCATAAAAAAAAAAAATAAACATTATATCATTACAAAGCACAATACATACCGTACCCTATGAAAAAGAGACTAGCTGTGTTAAAGATGCATTTAATTGTAAATTTAAATGAAATTTTAACAAAATGAGCAACACTTCACGTGGCGAAATAACATTTAACCCTTTATGATCTGAATATACTTAACCCCAAAAAGCCTCTCTTTCTGTATTGAGCTCCTGAACTCTTTCGGCACTTGAACATTTTCCCTTGAAATCCCAGTTCCTAAAACAAAGTGGCATTGCTCATATTGGGGGGATGGGCCCAGTGAATTCAGGCTGTGTGGACATTCTATAGAACACAGCTCGAAAACCATTAGGTTAGCACAAATACCTAATAGGGGTCTTCAAAACACATCAAAGTAAAATTCTGCCTCTCTGGAATACCAGAGGACAGGAACTGGAGTCAAGAAGCCTTAATCGCCCTAGCCGGTTTGGCTCAGTGGATAGAGCGTTGGCCTGCGGACTGAAGGGTCCCAGGTTCGATTCCAGCCAAGGGCACATGCCCAGGTTGTGGGCTCGGTCCCCAGTGTGGGGCGTGCAGGAGGCAGCCAATCAATGATTCTCTCTCATCATTGATGTTTCTATCTCTCTCCCCCTCTCCCTTCCTCTCTGAAATCAATTTAAAGAAGAAGAAGAAGAAGCCTTAATCCTGCTGTATCTGAAGACCACCTTCCCAGGTATGATAGTTTGCTATTACTGGGCCTTAACAGTCCAGACAGGCTCTGAAGGAATGTTTCTCACAGTAAGCTCTGCAGATTATGAGCATCGTGATCCCCTGGGATGTTGTTCAAAATACTGATTACTGGATTCAACCCCATTCCTACCAAATATGATGACTCTCTGGGAGCTGCCCAGAAAGCTGCATGGTAAACAAGCTGCCCAAGAGAGTTTGATAGCCAGTACCCTAAATTATTCTAAGCATGGGGAAAATCAGGGGAGTGAAAGTCATTTCAAAGCAATTCATGAAATGCAAACCCAGGTCCTATCATTAGCGGACACAGGATTTTCCTCCTTCTAATAGTGCATGGCAGTGTGTTAGTGCTTTCATTTACAATTACCCACAAAAGGCGCAGAGAGAATAGATAACTTAATCTTATGCATTTGAGGGGAGCAGGTTAAGAACAGACCCACCAGAGTCTGTATTGACTATACTGAAAAGTGCTTTGCAGGTGAAAAATTGAACTTGAATACAGACATATTGGAAATTCCTTTTCACATTACTGGACAACTCTTTGCTTTTAACAAATATTTTCAAAACAGGCTTCATTTAAAAATGATATTTCCTTTTGTGCATTTAAGATAAGTCTTAGAGCATAAAATGTACCTATGAAGGGTTTTCAGGAACACATCTGATGCATAAGTATAATATACTGGGCCACACATGTTGTGTAAATGAAAAGGGATGGGGCGAACTGCTCTGATAATTTGGGGGCGAGGCACAATTTTCACTGATGAAATTAGTAGTGCAAATAGCCCGCTACTTCCTCTCACCGCTGAACAAATTGCTATGATCACAGCCTACTGTTTTCATAGCCCTGTTGGTCAGTGACATCTGGTAAAGATCCTCACGTTTGTTCCCTGTGTCCCAACATCTGGACTTGGGAGATAGTCCAGTCAGTTAATGAGAACTTCATGATATTTGCTATGACAATTTTGGTTCTCTCTCCTTGAGTAGCCAAGGGCACCGTGTTGTAAAAGAATGCTACCGATGTCTTCCTTCACTTGCTAGTTTTCCCTACTGTTCATGGGGAGCAGTGAGCTCTAGAATTTGATTCAACGCAAGGAATCTTTGCGGGCCTTTTATATGCCAGGTGCTGTGTCAGAGGTGGACTCAGTAGGAGGGCACTGGGGCAGGGGCTGAAGTAGGAGCCAGACATATATAAGAGCTCATCAGTACTCTCAAGAACTCAATGTCTAAAGGTAGGAGCACATGACAGGAGAGGAGGCATATAAGAAAGGGGAAAGGGAATCTTGAGGTCCTCTCTCTCTTCTGTGTCTTTGCTAACAGGTACACTGAGGCCTGGGAAAGGCAGTTAGGAATAGAACAGTTATGGCCCATCCTTTTATACTCCATGTGCAACAGTAAGCAGAATATAAAATGCTAGGACTATAATACTTTTCCTTTTTTCCACAAAATGGAAGCTAGACTTGGTGCCCATGCTCCTTATTTAGCTCCACCTCTCTACTGAAATCTACCATTGGGGTCAAGAGGCAACAAGGCTCGGTGAGAAACTGGTAGGATTTTCCCTCTGTTAAGCTGGGATGAAATCTCTCAAGTCCCTATAGCCCCCCAAAGTGTTATGGTTCTTTGCACAGTTACAGTTACCTTGATGTCAGCACTAAAGTTGTTGATTTTCTGCCAGCCTGAGTTTTCCAAATGAAAGTTTGCCCATCTAAGCAGAAGCTCTTCTGGAGACAATTTCATAAGCTCCTCTAAAGTTTCACCATCTCGAAGTAAAGCAGCCAAGGCTACAAGAAAAACAATACAAAGCCATGACCCATATATTATGACGATGATGGTAATTATAAGTTCATTCAGTCTTTTGACACTTAAATAATACAGATGCAAAAACCAGCATGACCTACTTCCTGGTTTCCAGGTACTCAGAGTCTAATAAAAGAGAAATATATAAGTAGATAATTATGAGACAGATAAAGACTTTGTCTTATGAGAATACACACAAATAGACAGTATTAGTTTTTTCCTTTTTTATTATTCTTCGTATTCAAAATACGAAGTAAATTAAAGCTTTTTTTAAAAAATATATTTTATTGATTTTTAACAGAGAGGAAGGGAGAGAGATAGAGAGTTAGAAACATCGATGAGAGAGAAACATCGATCAGCTGCCTCCTGCACATCCCCCAATGGGGAAGTGCCCGCAACCCAGGTACATGCCCTTGACCGGAATCGAACCTGGGACCTTTTAGTCCGCAGGCTGACGCTCTATCCACTGAGCCAAACCGGTTTCGGCTAAATTAAAGCTTTTAAGATGAGCATTTTCACTTTATATCACATATTAACATAAACTGTCCTTGTTTAATAATATTAAAATTACAGATTTGGGGGATGATGTTTAAAATAGTGGAGCCTTTCACCTAACTTTTTATTTAAAGGAACATACAAACATTATGGTATTTACATTTAAGTATAATTAATTAACTCTTGAAGAGTTAAACCTATTTTTAATGGAATGCAATTCAACTTTCCATTTTCCATAGCACCTAACATGTAAAGGCTGCTCAATAGTTTTTGTTGTTAAATTGATGTCAGCACTAAAGTTGTTGATTTTCTGCCAGCCTGAGTTTTGAGCTTCTTCCATCAAGTGTGGAAGAAGCAGAGGGGTTTGTGTGTGTGTGTGTGTGTGTGTGTGTGTGTGTAAATATTTCTACAGAAAATAAGTAGAGCTGGATGTTTGCACAGAGCAGTGATTTTCAACCTTTTTCATCTCCTGGCACACATAAACTAATTACTAAAATTCAGCAGCACACCAAAAAATATATTTTTTGCTGATATGACCAAAAATAAGGTATAATTTTGATCCATTCACACCTGATGGCTATTGTTACGTTGGCCGTTGTCATTTTATTTGACAATCTAAGGGAAAAGAGGCCAGTGCCCCTGACTAAATAGTTTTAAAAATTCTTGCCCTAAACGGTTTGGCTCAGTGGATAGAGCGTCAGCCTATGGACTCAAGGGTCCCAGGTTCGATTCTGGTCAAGGACATGTACCTTGGTTGCGGGCACATCCCCAGTAGGGAGTGTGCAGGAGGCAGCTGATCGACGTTTCTCTCTCATCGATGTTTCTGACTCTATCCCTCTCCCTTCCTCTCTGTAAAAAATCAATAAAACATATTTTAAAAAAATTATTGTGGCACACCCATGTGCCTCTCGCAGCACACTGGTAGAAAACTGTTGGCATAGAGAACTGTCTAAATTCAAGCATTGTTTTATGAAGAAGTTGTGTAATCCTTATGCAATAATTAATTCCCATTAAATAAAAGAGATTTATATTGAACAAGACTGAAAGTGCCTGATTTCCGAAATGGTCTAAGCCAGACCTATAAGGCAAATTTCATTTTTCATGGGCTTTGCTTCATGCCATGCCATTTTGGCACTGAGACATTTAAGCAAGGAGAGAGGCTGCATGATCATTTGTACAGAACCCCTCCTGCTGCTCCCCATCTCTGCAAAGTCAAAGGCTAGAAAGGATCAAACAGCCTGACATCTATGCACCTAAGACCTTGTCAAAGATAAATCGCTTGATTTATTACATGAGCCAATATAATTTTATTTTGTTGTCTCCTTTTCCTTTTTCAATGGACCTTGACTCCTTTAACTAGACAAACACCATTGTGAAGATGGCCAGCAATGACAGAAACTGTATTTGTTCAAATATAGGTACATGTGAGTGGACTGAAAGTACAATAAATTCTTAAAGTGCAAGTCTTATAATGGATAAAAATGTGCAAAATAAGATTCTTGATAGACATTATGAGACCTTGAAATACTGAGAACCCCAAATATATATTCTTCCCCAAAAGTAACTGAGGGTTGAAATGGTGATTTCTGGAATAAAATACGAATATTTGCAGTGGTGCTTACTATTTTAAACTTTATAGGGAGAGAATAATGTAGTACTTCCTTAGACTCCATCACAATCGTATTGCACACACTTATATATTCTACAACTGCGTGATGTGATTTAAAAAAATCTATGCTGTAAGAAGGACAATGTTTCTGCTGGTTTGGGAAATAGGAGACCATCAAGGGCGGGTCAGAATATTTTTAAGAGGTCTAAGCCTATGATACAATATAAAAAGAATAAAAAATAATAGGAGATGGTGCACAGTGGTAGAGCTGAGGGTGATGAAGGGGTGGGGTTTGTGCGGACAAAGCAGAAAATAGATACCAAGTTTGGGGATCTTGGGAAAGTTCCTTAAATTCTGTGCTTTGTGTCTTTATTGCAAAATGAATTCTAAAGTGCCAGGCAAATGTTAATTACTACTAAAGAAGGAAGTTATAAGTAGGCTATTTTCCTGAATTACTTTATAGCATTACCTTGTTAATCCTATCATCTAATCACCTCAAGACAGACAGTATGACAGTCTGCATGGCTAGAAAAAAAATAACCAATAAACAAGTTTCAAAATAATGATTCTGTTCCATTACCTTCATTCCTGCCTAATCCAATGTCAGCGAACAAACCGATCTTAATGATTTGCCAAAGCAGTCCCAACACTAGATGAGGTTTCCCAGCCCGCAAATCCTCTGCACCAATGTTCACAACGTGACACCCAATGGCAGAAGCGGAGTTCAGTGCCAAGTTCAAGTTTTCCTGCAAGAAAGCCAATTTACACACTTGATTCTTGACCTTTACATTTTTTAAGAGTCTATTTCTCCCTTCACTGAAAACAATACTCAACCAGGAAATTAAAAGCCTGTATTAGTTTCAGCCACACATGATCCACAGGAAACAAATTCCAGACAGTAGTATTAAAAGCATAGCTAAAACAAATTTCAGCTTTATTGCTATTGTCTTTTCCAGAATTCCATGGGAAGTTAACTTGGTATTTTTATTTGATCCCTTTGGAAATACTAAAGGAAAAGGCTAAGTTACTAAAGTAAGTATATCCATGTAGGTTAAGTGTTGTATTTCTAAAAATGTCTAATGAGAGGTCTATTACATATAGCTGAAAGAGTTCTAGAAGTTCTCAATACCCACATCTGAAGAGGTGTTCTTGCCTGAGGAAATTTTGCTATCTGTCTACTACCTACTTAATGGAAGAGAAAAATGCTCCATTCCTTAAATATGCCAATTAAGAGCTTAAATACAGGGTGTGGCAAAAGTAGCTTTACAGTTGTGAATACCTAAATAGAGTTTATTCTTGTATTATTATTTAATAACTAGAGGCCTGGTGCATGAAATTCATGCACTGGGAGGGGTTCCCTCAACCCGGCCTGCACCGTCTCGCAATCCGG